TTCTCTTTTTCCCCAGATAGAATGTGCAGTTTAGACCAGATTGGTACTCGTCAAAGTCCTGGAAATGTCAGATAAATGCCAGACACAGTGATATATGAGCACCTGGCACCACTCTCCAGTGGGTGCAGGCGCAGGCGGTGGGATGGGTAGAGGCTTGGTAGGTAAAGTCTCCACAGTCATCTGACCACAGTCCCTTTATTCGGGGACACCTGTCAACACCACGCGCTTGGGGGAGGCTGAGCCAGAGGACAGCTAAGGTCCTTCTGGCTGCGGCTCGCTCAGCCACAGAATCCAGGATCCCTCCCCAAGCCTCCCATGTTCTTTAGGATGGTACCTACCATCCCAGTGGAACTGCAGAGCAATTTTCAACCGATTGCTTTCCTTGTCCCAGAAATTCTCATTGTTCCCCCAAGGCAATCTGTCTGAACTTCTGTCCTCTAGGACACTTCTCCTGGCTACCTGGAGGCCCCACACGGCAGCTACCATGTTTGTCTATTTTTTAAGCCCATGGACTTTCCGTTTGTCCTCTTTGTTTCAGGTAGTGAGTCTGAGCTTTTAGACAACCAGGTTGACCTGCTTGTGAGTTTCCCACGCCGTCTGTAGAATTCAGTCGGCCGTGAGTAGTGTAGCTCATAGTCTCGCAGTGTGGTCTCAAGACGGCAGCATCGACATCTCCTGGGGACTTATTAGAAATGCAGATTCTCAGGCCTCTCTAGATCTACTGAATCAGAAACTCATGGTGTCTGTCCTCACAGATCCGAAGGCCACCAAGGCCCCAACCAAGGGCTTCTTATTCCACAGAGCATTAGAGTCATGGTATCTCAGGCCCTTTTCCTTGCCCTGAAAAGTTGTCTTGTCAAGATAAATTTAAATACTGATTGAGACATATTTAATGAGAAAAATTATTCAACTTTTCATTTATTTTCTCTGTTCTCCTTCTTCCTGTTAGAATCTTGCTCATTTGGATGTTTTTCTAGCCTGTGCTTAGTCATAGACCAACATTTGGACTTTACATTAAGGACATCCGAAGGCTTTGCAGGTTTCCTCTCAACACAGTAGCTTTGAGGTCGGGCCTATCATCCTAAGGTAGAAAAACATGTAGGAAGGGCGGGTCTGTGGTCAGGCTTTCACTAGCTTTTGTCTCAGTGACAAACAATTCCAAGAATTCAATGGCTCACGGCAATAAGAATTTTTTCTCACCCAGTTACAAGTCAGCTTTGGTTCAGCTGTCACTCGCCTCCAAGTGTCCTCTCCTCCCAGTCCCCCAGAAGAAGGAACAGCCCAACGGAGCCTCATCCAAGACCTTGCCACGTGCCTCTGTCCAGGTGTGCCGTGGGTCACCGAGGCTCGCACTCCACTGGCCAAAGGGGTCATATGACCACATGGGACATAAAAGGGTGAAAACCATTCCCCCGCAGGGACAAGCCCAGGGAGGGATTCTATGGACGGGCCAGTAACTGGCGGCAACAAACAAGGAACAGCAACAACAAAGACCAGGCGGGCCCCAGCTCCTGTCTTCACAAGCACAGAGGGTGCAGGGTCGAGAAGCCCGTGGCGATGGTTCTCCAGAGAGCGGTGACCAGCTCCCCAGCCTCCCGGGTGCCGCACCTCCAGGCTGTCCTCGGTCCTGCGCGGCCCGGGGGAGGAATGGGCCTGCAGAGGACAGAGGGATCCCAGCAGGTAAGAAGCAAAGGGCCGCCCTTCGGAACCTGCCGAGGCGACTTTGGCTACCTCATGCTTTTTCACTGGGGACGTTCATTTCTGAGGCCACCTGGGCAAAGCCATCGTGTCCTCAGTTGACGTGAGTGAGGTCAAGGAGTGGGATCGAAACAGCCCAGCTGTGGAAGCGAGGCCTGGACGGCTTTGAGGAGCAGGAGGAGCGCGGCGGGAGGCCAGCACCAGAGGTCCCGTGTGCTGAGCGGCCAAAGTCACAGGATCCAAAGGGAGGACAGCTAAGCCTCACTAGATTTATTCTCAATTACTTTCAGGCCTTCTGAGCTCAGTGAACTCCAAGTACATGCTTGTCAAGCGTTTCTTTTTCTGCTTAATATTTAAACCTGTGTATCTTGAAAGTGAAATTTAATCGGGTGTTTTGGATTCATGGCAAAAAAAACAGAAGATCACCAAAAAATTGTTTTGTCAGAAATATCTGACATCCAAGAGAGCTTTCTGAGCAACTTTTCTTACAAACAGGAAGCTGTTTTGCTGGAGCTTTAAAGTCAGATCCCCTCAAATTCTAACTTTAGCCTGGAAACCCGAAGCTATGGTTCTCTCTGGATTTCATTCCTCCACCACCCCGCTGAAGGGACAGACAACGATTTCACTTGAGGCCTGAGCAAGTCAAGGTTTGGGAACCTGCTGCCTCCTCAAGTTTCTATTAGTCATTTTTCTGCAGGAGCCGGGCCTTCGCTAGCCCACCTGGAACCCAGAATGAAGTTCTCCCCAAAACAAGCGAACTGAAAACTTTCACACTTTGCCTCAACAGACTTCTAGGTTTTTAGAAGGTATCAGTGTTGCACTAACTAGGAGAAACTAGACAAAACACTTTTAATACTTTCAGAAGTTAGTACTTAGCGTTGGTCCACTGGGTAGTCGGCATTCATCTATAAAGATGGTATAGATTGGACATTCTGAAAGCCAATAAACGGATGTTTGCAATGCCAGTGGGCATCAGTGTTATCTGAGAATGCCACGGGGACGTGGGGGGAGGGGGAAGGCGCTGGTACCATTTAACCTGTGCGTCACGGCATGGTGGTTCTCGACCTCTGTTCCCAGAGCTGCAGCGTCACCTGCCAACTTTTAGTCATGCGGGTTCTTAGGCTCCACCCCAGACTCGCTTAATCAGAAACTCCGAGCCTTCCAGGCGGCTCTGGTGCCGCTGAGCCCGGGCACCTGTGTCAGGTGGTGGGGACCTTGGGCACAGGAGCCTCCGGGGGCTCTGCTATCACACACCAGCTGCTGAGAATTTGGGTGAGTGGCTTAGCCTGTCTGCCTCAGTTTCCTCCTCCTGGGGTGATGGTACTTGCCTCACAAGGTTGGTGGGAGGTGTAAGCTCACACACGGAAAGTGCGTGGAACAGTGGCGGGCACGTGGCCTGCAGTGCCGTCCACTTAGGAGGGCGACGGTTGTTACTATTGATCTGGAGCTTTACGAGGATAACTTAGCTGAGTCTTTATTTTATTATTTTGTTATTGCCCCTGTCACCGTTCGCCCGCATCTTTCCCGCTTTGGGCCACTTCTGGCTCCCCTCGGACAATGTCCACGCGTATCCCTTGCATCTGTGTTTCTCCCGCGCGGCCGCCGGCCGGCTCACGTCTCCGACAGGGCGGGCGCCCCGCTCTCGGGTTGATTTCTTTCATCGTCACGCACACGGGCCCCTTCGGTGACAGCACTGCGCTCCCCCCGCCGAGGGTGCTGATGGGAACTCGCTTTCCATCCCCAAGCCTGGGGGTGTCGTCCTCCACACAGCTGCTTGCCTTTTCCAACGTACCTACTGTTCAGTTCTGTTTCCAAACGGGTTTCTCTTTCCTTTATCTCCAGAGATCGGATGCTACACGGCATAAGCTTCAAATGGCTTCATGCCACGTATGTGTTGCCGGCTTGAAGTCAGGGGGCATGGTAGTGGTCTGTCCCTGTGGTAATTTCAAGGGTTTGGTACAGATATCGCAGTTCTGAGAATTACAATCCCAACCCACACGTTGGAACAATATAACGCAAACTGGAAAGGTAACCACAGTTTCCAGAGTCTACCGGAAGCTGCTGATGGTTCGAATGGCATTTTGCTGCTTGGAGGGACCAGGAGAGGGGCAGTGAGCGAGGACACCTTCCCTCACTCCTCCATCCTTAGCTTTGGGCGGACTTACTTTTCCTTAACCTTTTAGAAGTGAAGCCAGGTAGGCTGCAGAACCACCAGGGGAAAAAGGCAGTAACGTAAAAATTAAATGGAATACGAGTGTCTATCAGCAATGAAGACGTCTCCATCAAAGACGTCTGCTGACCAATAAAATGCTATAAATTAAGAGCATGTGGTTAAGTGTAAAGGATAAAGGCTGATGCTGGATCCTGACAGAGCGAAGAGAGGCCGTGTGCCAAACACACTGCCAGCCTGGGGCGCTGAGCGTGGCAGTGGCCGTGCGCTTCGGTAACTGGGACTATTAAATGATAAAAGAGTAATCGCTGTGATTATTTACAATCACCGGGGGGTTAGAAGTATGATGTGCATGCACGCTTGTTTGTGTAAGCCAGCTGAGTGTGTGTGTGTGTGTAGCTTAGGAAGAAGCATTTCAGAAAAGCAGGAGGNCGATTATTTACAATCACCGGGGGGTTAGAAGTATGACGTGCATGCACGCTTGTTTGTGTAAGCCAGCTGAGTGTGTGTGTGTGTGTGTGTGTAGCTTAGGAAGAAGCATTTCAGAAAAGCAGGAGGCAGAAGAAGGTGCTGGATGGACCCAGAGGACGGCAGACTTTGGGGGCGAGGCCCCAGAGCTCCGGCCTCGCTCGCCCTGCCGCTCCCGCCGCCCGGGCCTCAGCCACCTGGTCTGAAAAGTGTGCGTCAGATGCCTCGGTTGAGACAGTCCTTTCAACTCCGATGCTCTATGACTCAACAATAATAGTGCATTTCCACAGGCGGTAAAAATATTCTAGACTCTTCCCTCCCAATCCGCACTGTTTACTTCCTCTGCACTTCCCCTTCCTGCCTCCTGTTTGCTGCTCAGTTGATAGTGGGCCTCAATGGGGGCGAGTTAGCCCTTTCCAGGGGGTTTCACGATTGAACTCCCTCCAGAGGGTGAGGATTCCCTAGCGAGGGCTGTGGCTGGGGCCTCAATTTCACCCCTAAAACCTTCCTGGAGCCTTTCTCCTGGCACCGTGCCCGATGACCAGGGGCTGGAGACGAATGCTAGGCCCCAGCCCTCGGGGGGCGGGGAGTGCCAAGGGTCAGTTTTGCAGGGTCGGTTTCTTTGTCGATACCTGTGAACCCCACGTGTCCCTCTTTCTTTCAGGCAGTAGCAGAGTCCCATGGTAGCCAGGTGGGCGAAGGGGAGCCAGGACGGTCCGCCCGCCTCGAAGAAGACGGCTTCTGACCTGCTGAGTAAGTGGCCAGGTAGTAAACGGTCCTGAGGGCACAGGGTGTCGAGAGGGAGGGAGACGGCGTTTACCCTTCGAGTGCTGTCCACCAGCTGCTCTTTGCCACTGAGAGATGCTAAACCCAAGACCTGCCCAGGGGCTCCAGGTCTCCTTTCCCCGTTTATGACGAGACTCTGATAGGAGGTGCTGCTGGTGTCAACAACTCTAACGCTGGATGTGCAGAAACACAGGAGGAGGGAATGGATCCAGCTCATCCCAACCTGGCCCATTGCCCCTTTGGGAGAGATTAAAGCAGGAGCCTCGTGGCACTGCCTGCATATACCCAGGGCCAGGTTTTCCAGAAGCTGCTGGCGCCCGCAGGACACTGCATGTCGCTCACACTTGAAAACTTAAGCCTCCGTTTTGATCTCAGGGATGGAATGGCATGCATTTTCCCTGGGCTGGTGGGCGTTTTCTTTTTTTAAGTGCATGCAGTTACTTGTCTTCAAAGTGCTGGGTTCTGAGACTGACTCTGCATTTGGGCTGCCAACATGGCCTTGCTTCCAAACTTCCAGCCCAGCCCCTTCCCTCTCGGTCCCTGAGAGGTGCTGCTGAGGGTCCAATAAGGCCCATGCTCATCAACGAGACCCTGTACTTTTCTTTTAAATCAGTCCCAAAATAAGTGGAATAGGCTTCATCGGGTTAATATAAATTCTGAATAACTTACGGCCCTTCTTTGCCATGAAAATTAAAAAGTGACTCCCTTTCCAAGAAAAAGGAAAGATCATTGCAGGGGACATTCAGTAAATGACACACTCTTGATAATAGAACAGGAAAATTAAAGAGCCCAGCAGATCCCCTGCTTCCCCAAGTGTCAGCCCGTGATGGATATAGTTTCACTTCCCTTGAAGGGATTTGCCCAGAGGATTATTTTCAGACCTCTCATTGAAGCACTGCTGCTCTCACAGCAAAGATCATTGCATGAATCACAGACTGCTGCGTACCAGTTCCTTTTCACAGGGGGGATTTAAAACATTTTTTTAAATGCCAATGAGGTGGAGGGAAAAATCATGCCAACCAGGTAGAGTTCCCCCTAATCACTCCCATTATCTTTTTAAGGAATGTAGGGGTCATTTATCAGTCAGCCGGCAGGGAGTATAAGATGCGGGGTGGCCCCATGCCCAGCTTGTCCCTGTGTGTGGACCGGCGTGGGAGCCTGGCCTCTTCCTGGTAGGTCTGCCCTGTTGCCCTGTCCCACGCCTGGACTTGTTCCTGGCTCATTAGCTCTTTAAAATACACTCCTGTGCTGGTTTTCCTTCGCTCTAAGGAACTAAGGCAGAATTTGTGTGCCACACCAGAATGCCATACCTAATATAGTATATTGATTAACCAGCGTATCGATTAAGCTATTAATCAAGATTAATTATTCACTATGTGTTTGTTTTGGGGGGTTGATAACTTAGTATTTTCCAATGTAATCAAGACTAGGAGAGGTCCTGGATTCTAAATTATTCATTGGATTCGGGAAAAAGATAAATTGATATTATAAGGAATGTCATGCCAAAGGGTAAGTTTTAAATTTTTTTATTAACACTACCTAAGTTTTAAAAATGTGTATTAGTATTCTCCATTGCTTATCAAGAACTATCTATGGATGCCCTGGCTGGTGCGGCTTAGTGGTTAGAGTGTTGGCCTCCCGCACCAAAGGGTTGCGGGTTCGATTGCTGGTCAAGGGCATGTTCCTGGGTTGTAGGTTGGATCCCCAGCCCCGGCTGGGGCACGTGTGGGAGGCAACCAATCGATGTGTCTCTCTCACACCGGTTTTCCTCTCTCTCTCTCCCTCTTTACCCCTCCCTCCCTTCCACTTTTTCTAAAAATCAATGGAAAAAACATCCTCAGGTGCGGATTAAACAAGAAAACAAAGAACTATCTATGGATGGTAAATTTTAGTTATATCTGTACTGCCCTATGCTTAGTCAACCTATTTTTAAATTCTCTATAATTGGAAATGTATGATAGCTGAATATATGTAAATATTCATAATTCTCTGTGGGGTAGGTACGTGCGAGTGTGATGTCACAAGGGGAAGATAAGTGTCTTTTTTTAACTGCGAGGCTCTGTTTTGGCACTTCGTAGCCACTATCTCATTTAACCATCACAAAAGCCCTCAGGAGGAGGCTTTCTTCTCATTTTACAGCTTAGGGAGCTGAGGTCCAGAGAGGTTAAATACCTTGTCCTGGCTCACACAGCAAATCAACTGGAGAGTCAGCATTTAACTTGGGTTTGCTTGTCTCCAGGGTCTATGCTCCTCACTCCTCCCTACTGCCTTCCTCAAGTTTGAGTTGGCTCATTGCCTTCAGAAGCCTCCTTTCTTGTGCACCTCCATGTGCATTCTTACTTATGTCACCTGTTTATCTTATTTCTATTTTCTAGACAATCCACCACCTATGACAGTAATAAAATGTCTCTCTTTGTCACTTCCTTAGGTGGTCCCAAGAGCCTGACCATGGACCCAATTCACCTTAGCATGTCCAGCACTCCCCTGGTGAAGCACACAGCGGGGGCTGGACTCAAGACCCACAGGCCCCGCGTCATGTCCAAGAGTGGACACAGCAACGTGAGAATCGACAAAGTGGATGGCATATACTTACTCTACCTCCAGGACTTGTGGACGACCGTGATCGACATGAAGTGGAGATACAAACTCACCCTGTTCGCGGCCACCTTCGTGATGACCTGGTTCCTCTTCGGAGTCATCTATTACGCCATCGCGTTCGTCCACGGGGACTTAGACCCGAGTGAGCCGACTTCGAACCACACGCCCTGCATCATGAAGGTGGACTCTCTCACGGGCGCCTTTCTCTTCTCCCTGGAGTCCCAGACCACCATCGGCTACGGCGTCCGCTCCATCACCGAGGAATGCCCCCATGCCATCTTCCTCTTGGTAGCTCAGCTGGTCATCACGACCTTGATTGAGATCTTCATCACGGGCACCTTCCTGGCTAAGATCGCCCGACCCAAAAAGCGGGCGGAGACCATCAAGTTCAGCCACTGCGCCGTGATCACCAAGCAGAAGGGGAAGCTGTGCTTGGTGATCCAGGTGGCCAACATGAGGAAGAGCCTGCTCATTCAGTGCCAGCTCTCCGGCAAGCTCCTGCAGACCCACGTCACCAAGGAGGGCGAGCGCATCCTCCTCAACCAGGCCAGCGTCAAATTCCACGTGGACTCGTCTTCCGAGAGCCCTTTCCTCATTCTGCCCTTGACCTTCTACCACGTGCTGGATGAGACCAGCCCCCTGCGGGACCTCACGGCCCAGAACCTGAAGGAGAAGGACTTTGAGCTCGTGGTCCTCCTCAACGCCACCGTGGAATCCACCAGCGCCGTGTGCCAGAGCCGCACGTCCTATATCCCAGAGGAGATCTACTGGGGCTTCGAGTTTGTGCCTGTGGTTTCTCTCTCCAAAAACGGAAAGTACGTGGCTGATTTCAGTCAGTTCGAGCAGATCCGGAAGAGCTCCGATTGCACGTTTTACTGCGCGGACTCCGAGAAGCAGAAACTGGAAGAGAAATACAGGCAGGAGGATCAGAGGGAAAGGGAGCTGAGAAGCCTTTTGTTACAACAGAGCAACGTCTGACGGCCGAGCCAGGGCCTCGCTTTAACTGCAGCCGCAGCCACGTCTGAGCTCCCTTCGAGCAAGACTGTGTGGATGCGCTCTGAAAACACTGCCCAGACATGCAAAACTGCTCTTTCCCTTCGGTCTGGTGGCTAAACAAGAATCCCCACCTTTGACAGGGTTCCTTGTTCAAATGCTTTGTCTGAAGCAAACTCCCAAAATTCAGATTTTCTAAAATGGGGCTATATTTCGAAGAAGTTGGGGTAGGGCAATTGCAAAAATGTCCTGCGGGATGGACAGAGACATTCAGCGATGCTGATAGTGGAAGGAGGTGCATTTCTATATAAGGATCTCAGCTGTAATATAAGGTATTTATTCAACCCGAGTATCAGAGACACTGTGGCCGAGACCTGAAATGTGGTCAGTGTTCACTCACACCGTCGCTTTAACACGCTTTTTCTTTTCAAGCAGAGAGAATGTTGCTGTACTGGAGGCTACCTGGTAATGCAGAAAATGGAGCAGGGAGAAATCTGTACTCATAAAATATAATAATTCCATTTTCACCTTTCTTCAGTGGATTTAATTTGTAGAGTGAAATCGATCAATCAGGAACGAACAGTTGTGAAAACATACAAATGGAGTTGAGACTGTCGTTCACACTAACTGCCTGTTGGAATGTGCTAGCCCCTTTCTGTTCAAGATGTGGTTCACAGACCAGCAGCATCAGCCCCATCTAGGAGCTTATTAGCAATTTAAACGCTCAGGCCCCTCCCTCCAAACGTAGACAATCAGAATCTGTATCTTAACAAGACCCCCATGCGACTTGTGTACCAATGAGTTTGAAAAGCTCCCCTCTGGGCAGTGTGTTCAAAGTAACCTCTGAAGCCATGGGACTCTGTGGGTCCCATGTCCATGTGGCCTCCAGACCTGTCTTTCCTTCAGCTCATTATAATGGACCAAGCGTCCTTTCGGCCACTTTTTTTCTGTATCTATTAAAATTCCTTGTCCACAGAGGAAGCGCCACTGACATTCCAAGAACAAAATAAAAGCTCTGGCAGGTAATGGCTGTCTCATTCATGCTAAGTATATGGTTGTTGCTGATAGTTAGAACAAAAGAAAAATTAAGCTGAGCTGTGTAACAATCAGAAATTTGCTCAGATGTTGAAACCTAGAAGGTTGGNAACAAAAGAAAAATTAAGCTGTGCTGTGTAACAATCAGAAATTTGCTCAGATGTTGAAACCTAGAAGGTTGGATGAGGCCATGAGAACGAGAGTTGCTGAGGATAAGAAATTCATACACAGATGACTCCTTGAAGCATGAACAAAATTTGATAATCTGATAACTTGTCAAGAATGTCCTCAGTGTTTAAACAAATCTTGTGCAACTCAGTGTTACAGAGATAACATTTTGCCTTCAGCAGAATTTAGGCACCAGGCACCCTGCATTTCTTTGGGGCAGAGAATAAATGGCCAAGGACTGGCTAACTGTGCAAAAGGTGAATTCTCACTTCATTTAAAATAGGACAGATCTGCATATACACTCAAGAAGAATGCAACTATGAGTATGTAGGTGCTACATGGATGTACATACATGTGCACCACATATATGCACACACACATCTAGGCACATACAGAGACATACATGCACACACATACACAGGCACACACATGTGCACAACACACAGGGACACACACCCTAGCCCTTAAAGCATAATTGTGGAAATTATCAATGAAAGACATTTGCAGTTAAAAGAGCAAATCCTCCAGAAATATGCTTGCTTTTATTTTGTTCTATAAGATCGGGAACATTGGGACTCAGGGATATGGGGGGAGTAACCTGGATTTAGACCGTCAGTGAAACCAGCAAGTCTGGCCATCTTTTGATGTTCCCACATTTCAAATGTCCTTCATTAAACAGAATGTGTGGCTAACACCTCTGACCTGGAACGGACCATCTAATGGGGGGCTCAGATGAATGGGGCGACGTCGTGAAGGTTGAAAGAACAATCTCAATGCACAAGGGGTCTTGTCTTCAGTTACTCAGGAAGTTTTTTTCTGTTTCTGTCCATAAGTTTATGGCAGGTTGTTTTAGATCTTAAAAAATTACGTGTAGTTAGATATTATCCCTTTCTGTTGTTACACGTGATGTTTGATTGAATGTTGTGGTGTAACCGCCAGAAGAATGATGCCACGGGCAAGTTTACAGGCTTTCTGTCGCGCTATGAATTCTCCCAGCATTTCTACCATTGTTGATTTGAATGTGATCAAGATTAGGGATCCTTCACGCGTCTGTTGTAGATGGTGCAATGATGCAGCACAAGATTGAGAAACCTCTTTTATGTTCACCTAGCATATCTGTTTCAGCCGAATTTGGAAGACTTGCTCATCTGATCTTTTGCACTACACACAAAATAAATATGCAGCGTCTTAAACGCCAATACTTGTGCAAGTCAGTAAATCATACTACAACGTAATCTGTCATACATAGCTCTACAGCTGTGGCTGGTTTGAAGCTGAGCTTTTCCCAGGCACACTTATTTATTATTACTTTGTACAAAATGCCCTCATGTTGATGTGCTAACAAAGAAAGGATTCAGGTGGCAAACTGATTCTATGTGGATAGTTTTCTGACTGAAACAGATTCGTGCTCAACCCCAACTAAGAAGTCAGACTGATGGAGTGTTTCTGACCCCAAAAGGCTCTTTTTTTGTTGTTTTTGTTTTGCATTTTGAAGTATTTCCAATGCACCAGGCCTTCTCAGTCAGACCATGCAAAAATGTCATGTTCCATCTGAGAAACCACAAAGCCATGCCTTACTTCAGTAATAAAATGCATTGTACTTACATGGTCCCCAGCAGCCAAGAGCCCCAGAGGCATTGCAAAGAGTCACTCATCCACCCACACAGTGGGCCACCTCTGGGGTGGGGGCGGAGGCACCCGTGAGTTCCCTTCCCCACTCCTGGGGATGCTACAGCAAAGAGAGGAGACCAGAATTAGAGAATAACTAGTTAAAAGGGGGAAATGCCATCAATGAGTGGACCAGATATTTAGATGAATTCAAGCAACTCTTTGAATTACATTTTCAATTTTAATTGACTGTGATTTTGATATTGTTAAAATGTAAAGTAAGGTGTATAAACATGTGACACTTCTATTAAATATGACCCTTTCTCCCTTCTTAGATCCTCAGTACCCATATATCATCTGAGAAAGAAGAAAATAGGAAAGCAAAGCAGAGAAGGCACAGGGCCTTTGCACTGGTAGCTTAGTCAAGGGTCAACCTTGGGCTTCGCTCTCTATTTTGTCCCTATGGTCTAAGGGTCCAACATTTGACCTTGTGGCCTAAGGAAGACTTCTGGTCGCTCAACCTTGGCTTTTATTTGAAATAACTAGTTTTGAATCCAGGTTACCTTATCATGGCTTTGTGGGATGGAATTTTTTAATGAAAGGTATTAGCATTTCCAGTCTTGGTTTCCAAGTTTTGTAGTGCGCACTGGAATTCCAGCATTTGACCCTGGAGAGGTCTAAGGCTCACTTAATTTCCTTCCCCAGGGAAGACTTACTCTGAAGGTCCAAAGCTTAACATTTCACTTCTAACGGATTAACTACGCACATGTTGCCCTTTGTGGGTTTCAGTTTATCTTTAATCAGAATGACCTGCCAACCAGCCGAACCCTGGGCCTGTGGACAGCCGTGAGCGGCGGGCGTCTGCTGTGAGAGCGGAGAAGTCTCCGGAGTTAGAATTTGCAATGAAATGATATGATGAGAACTTAACTGGGGTTTTAAAGAATAAAAGAGTTAACTTCTTGAGGCATTTGTATTTGTTTGTCAGTAAACTGCTTTGATTGTTGTCGTTTTGATTTTTTTTTTTTTTAAATCTAAAAAAACTCTTTGCCTTCAGAGTGAGGAAGGCAGTGAGAAAAGCATACAAATTAAAAGCTAGCAGTCGATGGCCCAGCTCCTACATAAAGCACCTCTCCCAGTGGAAAAGAACTTCTTTGCAGGGAAAACTTGGCCACTCGGTCTTACATTACGACTGCCTGTCATTATAATCTCCTGGCTTCCCAGGAGAACGGATTTTCCTAGTCTTTAAGAAACACTGACGGGTTAAGTCCAATTTCCCCCCCAAAGTTTTTCCACTAAACGCTTACTGAGAAAGAAACCTGAGGCAGAAGCCCGGCGGCAGCCCCTCCCCTCACCCGCGCCCCCTGCGCGCCCCCCGGTGCACCGGCTTCCTCTCAGCGGGTCTGCTTGGTTGGCCGGCCTTCGAGCTGGCCGTCCGCGTCCCACGGTCCGATGATTCCAGGCGTTAGAAGTAATCAATCCAAAGTCCCAATCTGTGGACGTTTAGATGCCCCCAAATTGGGCACAGGAATTTTTATTTTTCAATTGCTATGTTGCTGGTGTGTAAACTTAGAAGATGAAGAAAAAGCTCTTGATTAGAATTGATAGCTAATTCCTAATAAAATTACATGAATTGATTGTGTGCTAAGGACGTCATTGATATATGCTATAGAAGCCCAAGAAGTCATGTATATATGTAAAGGTCACATAATTCTGAATATAATCCCAGAATAAGGCACACTGTGTATGCAGGACATGTCCTGTACTTAGTGATTTCTGTCCTGCATTCTGTATGGATTTTATTAAGATGCTCTAAATGTCCTGTGTTTATTTTTATCAAGAAGTTACAAATTTGCAGAGGCAATTAGAAAACAAACCTTCAAATTCAACTGGATGTCTTTTATATTTATTTGCTACTCTGCCAACCTTAGGGAAAGTATTCACTTAATCCCAAACTATGCCCCACTCAAGAAGAGCAAAAAACAAATGTCCCTTCCTTTGGAAGTTACGGTTTTCATAAAACTGGTAGTAGAGAAAGGGGTAATCCAAAAAAGATATTCTTCTGGGCTTGTCCAATTAGTAAAAGTAAATTTCAGCCAAACACAGGGGACCTTTGACACATTCTGTGCAGCATGGAGCAGGATGCTATTTGAGCCCGTCTATCAAGGAGAGGCCTAGAATGACCAGCTCAAAGCCCCTCCACATGGTGTGCCGGAGCCCTCATTCCCAGCCCCCACTGGAGAAACAGGCCGAGGGTTTTATGGTCCTGACCAGCACTGGGTGGGCAAAGCCAGAGATGAAGGAATCAGCCTAAAAGTCCACCACCAAGGCTTTTGCTTAGCAGCTCCCTCTTCATGATGTAGTGCTTAACCGTGATCTTTATTTGAGGCCAAATCTTATCTAGTTCCCAAGCCTTCCCACTCCCTTAAGATATCCAAAAGTATTCAAAAGTATTCAAGTTAAGGGTAAGACCCCCTCAAAATTAGATTCCGACAGAGCTACTACAATTGACTATAGAGTATTTCCTAAAAAAAGTCAGAAGTTGTTGACTCTGAGCTAAAAAATGTGACCTCTTAGCTTGTTATTACTATTAGTGTTACTATTGGAATGTCCTTAATATTCTTAAAAAAGTAAAGAGCTTCCAAGAAGGTGTTTGGAGAGGAGTTCAAAGAAATGCATTTTTTTTTTTTTTTTTTTAAATTCACTGTAATTTAACTACATTTCTTCATCTGCAATCAAATCCTAAGAGTAAGGATGTTGTATTAAAACAAATCATTGCAGGAAGTATGACTGTATCGGGGACTTTTTACAAAAACAAACTTCCAGATCACAAGAGGAAGCTGTGTTTGTGTGCTGACAGCATATTAAATAGCAGTCAGGAGACGAAGGCAGGATGACAGCCAACTTGGATCTATTTTTGAAGAATTATTTCTGTAGGGTGTCATGGAGTTGTAAGTTACAAAAGGAACGCTTTGGTAAACAGACTTCTCGATTCCAAAAGGACCCACTCCAAAATACCACTTCGTGAAATTCAAAGGGAATGTTATGAAGATTAAAATCCCAAATCACATGCAGATCTTACAAGCAAACAGTCCCACTCCTTGCAAATCCTGGCGCTGTGCCCTAACCAGTGTCTGGATTGTGCCTCGGTCTCCTGCCATATGTTTTTCTACGTCTGATCGCTATGCTGGGACACACATGAGTGTCCTTGCTTTTCTCTGATTTTAAAACTAGTCTTATACTTGTATTTGCCTCAGTAGAACAGCGACTCATGTTTCTCAAGGTTGAGCTACTGTTTGGTGCCTGTTGGAAATCTCACACTGATAGGTATTCTTTGTCACCACTGGGCCCGATCAGACCGTCTCAGCTTTAATTGTGTACTTTCATGTACTGCAAATGCATACCTCTATTTGTCAAACCATTTCTTGTTTTCATATGTATCTCCACCACCTTTCTTTTTCTAGACATGGAATCATCTAATCTGTGAAACAATAGAAAATACAAATGCAATAAAGCTAATTCCATAGCCTTTAGTCTCTATTTCATTGGCGCGGTGATGGTGTTACTGTGGTGCCCCGTGGAGATGAAGCGAGTATCTCCCTACAGAGCTTAGAGATAAATTCATGGGAAATAGCTGTTTCCAATGGCGGTAACTACAATCATTTGGTCCTCAGAGCTTATGATGGCAGTTTCCATCCAGCCTACAGGACTGCATTTTGCTTCCTTTCTCATCAAGAAAAGAACTGAAATCCCTACCTCATCTCTTTTTTATTTTTGCCTTGACGCTCTCTTGATCATTTCATTTGAGTCAATGATTAAAGATCAAGTGATTATTTAATGGCAATCTTTCGGCACGCATTGCCTACCAAAGTCCCTTGCATTCCACAGCTCAGTTACTTTGATGGATTAAAAGAAAGAAAACATAATTACATAATCCTTAAGGACACCAGTATGGGTGCGACTGCAAAGCTGCACAACCACTGAAAATCCACATGGCAGAGGCTAGCACCCAAGGACAGCCATTGTCCTTGAAGGGCTTTCCTGGGGAAGCACCCAGACACACACACACAGACACACAGGTGGCTGCCACAGCACCAAACCTCCTTCCAACGTCTCTTCAGGGACCTGTTCCTTTGGAATCTTGGCTCATTGGTTGCAACATTCTCAGTGGTGGCGAGACTATGTTCTTTGAGTGAGAATGTGGCAGCTGGAAATAAAAAAAGCTGGTCATATAGTAGGAAGTCAAATTTGAGGATGTTGTTTGGGGGAAAAACAATACCACCAAAATGTTTTCCAGAAATTGCACAGTAACTTGGAACATAGCAATGAGGCTCATCAGTAGGACACATTTTATTTATTTGAATTTGCACAGAATTTCTCAGACACATATTATTTTCTACTCTATTATCTCAAGCATCTGCTTGCCTTTATGGGGTGACCTTGGCTGAGAACTGAGCTCTCCACGTCCAACACATAAGACAGCCTTGCCTCCACCACACCATGGTCTTGGGGCTGTGAATTTGTCACAGCAGCATTTGGTTCTGGGCTGGAACACTGTCCTGGCAGCCATAACCCTCTTCTCAGAAACCCTTGACTTTGCTCATCTGTCCTCAAAAATGTCAAATGAACAAGCTTGATGGTTACAATTTTCACCAGAAGTCCATATTCTTCCCCAAAACTTTGAGTTTTTCCCCCTCAAGTTTTTCACCCCTTTATTTGAATGTAACACTTCCATTGTAATGCTTGGCACGTGGTATATCCGAGTGTTCCCAATGTGTTCTCACCAGTCCCGAGGACCACTCTCTTTATCTTTCTCAGTTTGCCTCTGTTGGGTCTGTTAGACACTCTGGCTCTCAACAGTCCACTTCCCTGGGCACTGTTTACATGTGATGTAAAGATCTGCCTCAGTCGGCTACAAACAAGAGTCACTGTCGCACATCCACACGGAACAATGTGTGCGTTTCCTTGCCCCGTCCTCACCACTGCCTCTTTTGCTCAGACCAGCCCCCCCCCACCCCACACACACCTCATGACTTCTGGTCATATCTTGGATTTGCTGAGAACAAACAGTACTCTTTCTGAATGCTTCATACAACCTCAAACATTTAATAGTCCATTTTAGACCCAGTGAAGGAGGTAGGACATGTCTAATTACTATACAAAAGACCCGAAAGCTCAC